GTCGGGAGTTACAAACGCAGTGCTGCGGAAGTTCTGCGGCAGTAGCGGGAAACATGGCCAACTCAGTGACAGTGGAAGCAGATTGGCTTGTTGTCCGCTGTTCTCCATTCCGTTGGATTGTGGGATCTGGGCAGAAAGTATGGTTCATAACGGGGTGCGTTCATTGGCATCGGTCTGTAGTCCAGTCGGCAGATGGAGCAGGCGACAGGAAAACGAAGGTTAGTAATTTCTTGCCGGACGACTACTTGAATAACTGACACCACCGGAGGTGTTTGAACGGTGCCTTGGTCGAGTAGAAGTGGATAAAACGGCGCCGGACGGACCGCCTCAAACTTGCGCCGAACGATGCATGTAACATTCTAGTGCATGGGTGGTGTGGCACCAAGATCGGTACAGGTTGCCCCGCCGCGGTGGTCTAGTAGCTAAGGTACTCGGCTGCTGACCCGCACGTCGCGGGTTCGAATCCCACCTGCGGTGGCTGCATTTCCGATGGAGGCGGAAATGTTGTAGGCCCGTGTGCTCAAGTTGGGTGCACGTTAAAGAACCCCAGGTGGTCAAAATTTCCGGAGCCCTCCACTACGGCGTCTCTCATAATCATATGGTGGTTTTGGGACGTTAAATCCCACATATCAATCAATCATCAAAGATCGGTACAGGTTGACGTGACAGCCGTATTTGGGAGCAGCGAAAATTGAGGCGAAACTCGGCGGATTTTGGACATTTCGAAGCGGTGGCATTCTTTAATTATGAGATCGACAGTCGAGACGTTGTTGTACACGAGCAAGTTGAAAGCGTCCGCAATATCATTGAGTATGTGGCCTACCATGTCACTCTCTGTCATTTGCTCGTCCACTTTGCGGCACAACGCAAGCACGTCCTGTATGCACGAGACATACGACTCGGTTGATGACTGTACACGGGTGGCGAGTTCTTGTCGTGCAACCATTTGTCGACTGGACGGCTCCGCGAAGATGTCGGGTAGTCGTTCCTTGAAGATGTCCCAGCTGGTGAGCTCTGCCTCACGAGGGTCGAACCATACACGCGGAGCGCCATCCAAGTAAAAGATTACGTTAGCGAGCATCATGGTAGGGTCCAATCGGTGAGACAGGCTAACGCGCTCGTACATGCGGAGCCAGTAGTCAACGTCATGGCCAGGCTGGGCGGCGAACGTGCCAGGATCACGGGGGTGGGACATCGCATGGTACGTAGTAGCTGGTGCTCCAGCTGAATGCGGTGACGGGTTGTTATCATTGGAAGCCATGGCCGGAGGCTGGACGGTGCAGCCACTTGAAGCTTCGTGGTGAGGACGGGGAACGTTCCACCTTCACCAAATATTTTACGGAAGAAAAGAGACGCCGTATCAACGAGGCTGTGAATGAAATATATTTCAAACCAGCAGCAGCGGCGTGACTGGTTCACCAGACACCGAGCGGAGACCACCCTTCGTCCTCTTCGTCCCGTACACACGCGCATCATCCCACAAAATGTCAACATGCATGTAGAAATATGATTGAATTCCCTACTATTTTCTGGCAATGCTAACACCTTGTAGGGTTTTTAAGCAGTCCATTCTACAGACTCGTTCTCACAAAGTACACTAGCTGCAGGAAATTGTATTGTGGACAAAAGCAATGTTTAAGGTATGAGAAACAGGCTAGGCTACTTATGTGGTTTACAGAGAACATCGCGAGCTACCCGGTTGTTTGATCTGGCTTGCCTGTCGCTATGGGTACCGTCATATAATACAGCATTGTCTCGAGCCTTGCACTAAAAGACCTTCGAGGTGTCTGCAGTGATAAGGTGAATTGGCCTCAGGAATGCCGCGCACACACTGAAGTCGGTTGACAGTGACATTGAGGTTCTCCTTCTCGCATATATAGGCTACCGAAATATCCTCACTCGGCCAATGTGGTGGTTGTACTAGCAGAAAGAACGAACTGTTTTAAAAGTATTTTAAACCAACTCCAGTCAAGGAACACGCTTTTCCTGTTTTACAAAACGGCGGGTCACTTCAGAAAACAGCCCTCCATCTTTCAGAACTTGCTATATATAAAAAAACCTTCCCTTCTCGTTGAAACCCATGCTGCCCTCAACGTGAATCAGCGACCTCTGAAAACCAACATGGCGACCCGTCAAGTATTCGGCCGTTTTAGCCTGTTGAAAGCAACCATGATCGAAGTTGTCACCACCCTAAATCGCACGCACATGAAGGCTCCCTACTTAAGTGTGGGCTGTCGGCACACGATCTCTCTCAGCACCACTGTCAGCGTGTACTCCAATTTGGTAGGAGACCGCCAGGTGGCTGCGCCTATTAATAGCACTGGCTCTCGGCGCGCTTCCGTTGTTTTCCGTCGGACATCACTAATTGCGCGTCGACACCGCTACCCACTTAGAACACAACAGAAGCCTAAGTTGAGGCTCGGAGGTTTCGACATTCGACTGCAAGGCAGGCTCACCATGAAATTATTAGACATACGTGCATTGTGTCACAATATATACGCCGATGACATCACTCGCTGGGTTCCAGGATAAGGTTGTGACGGTCCCGTCCAGCGAACGTTACAGGCGGGAGTAGACAAAGTTCAGTAGTACTGATGTGGCCCACCAGGAGCAAGTGATGTGACACACTCGGTTGCGGTAGGGATCGTATGAAACGGCTGAAACACTCGTATGGCTGTGGTCCCTAAGGAGACACAACAGATCCCTAAGAGGAATAAGCATGACCACAGTGACGGTGTACCTGTCTTGCGGCAAGACGATGTTGCGCAGGAAGAAACCAGCCTCCACCTTAATGAACCAGATGACTGGGCTTCTATATCTGAATTCGGGCAATTCCGGCGGTGAAAGGCTGCAGGGCGCCGGAGTGATCGTATCTGGTAATCGCGCCATGGTCATAGGCGCGTCAGGATTGGTTGGCTCGATTCGGGTGTCTGGTAGAATCTTCTAGAATGTTATTCCGAACTACGAGAGAGAGAGAGAGAGAGAGATAAATAGAGAGGAAAGGCAGGGAGGTTAACCAAGCTTGGCTCGGTTGGCTGAAGGCAGGTAGAGGAAAAAGGATACTGCTACATCAAATGACAAAGACCAACTGCTTTAGTACACGGCCTGCGTGTACTACCTCACGCCTGCACGGACTTTGTCTTCGTCACTGTGTAGGCATTGCCGCAAGTGGCTAGACCAAGCTTTTCTCTTGGCGACGGAGATCACGTTCGGTACACTCGGAATAACTGAAAAAGCTCTAGCGCGTTTTGCTTGTGGAAGCAGGAATTTGGGGTGCTTAAGCTGGCAGTGTTTAAAAAATTCGTGAAAATGAAGTCATGCATTGGAATTTTGCTTGAAACCCGTATGGTCTAGCGTAGTGGGATCATTTTGGACTCTTCGGCTTTCGTTTGCTGATATGTACAGCCTGTTTCACAATTAGCGGAAATATCGGAGCGCATTACACGTGGTGCGGCCAACCATATAGTGGTGTGCAGCTGTAGCGCATGACAAGGTCCAAAACTACGCCCCTCAAGTGTCTGCGCACGCGTGAGCTGCTGCCGACGTGCGACTGCAGTGCCCGTGGCACACCGTGGATGTCATGCAGGCTTAGATTTCCTTTGTGTGAGAAAGACTGTACATTGATTTTCTTGTGAGCTGCGAACCATACGGTGATGTGAAAAGCATCAGGGGGCACTTGCTTGAGAATACTCGTCCTTTGTTTCCAGGTTAGTCAAGATAGGCCTACATGGCTGATCTCGGGTCGCTGAAGGTGGTCGTTCATAACTATCACCATGTCAAACTGTTCAGCCACTACCACTTTGATATATAGTATAGTAGTGGCCAAACAGGTGTGTTTGTGTGCGTGAATGATGTCGTGGGTTATGCTGAATTTAGTTTTTTGAAATAATTAGAACAGGATGCTGTCACGACTCCCGAGGATGAAGGAAACATTTCTGCAAATGTGCTTTTCATGGTTATGGAAAGCTGAGTTTTTATGGCGTCCTGCAAGGAAAGTGCTTGTTGCCTAAATTACGTGTCATATTCAGCTCAAATTAATATTTCGAAATTATTATAACAGGATCTTGTACATGACTCCCAAAGGAGCAAGGAACATGTTTGTATGTGTGCTTGACACGGTTATAGGTAGCTTCTTTTATGGCGCCCTGCAAGGAAAGCGCTTGTTGCCTATTTCATGACGTATTTCTAACCGATCTACAGTTGGTAGGCAACATTTCATTCCAACTTTAGCATCACATTTAACCGTGGTTATATTTTGCTCGCATACTGTTGCCATGGTCTAGCCGCGGCTTTGTAGCCGTCACACCAGGCAGTTTGGGCGTGGCAGATGCGCGAAGTGTTATCTTCGGTAGGCGGGCTTTGCACTAACTTTTACTCGTTACTCCTGCTTTGGCGCACGCGCAGTTCATCAAGGTTGCACCAAATGGTGCACTATGTGGTTTGCTTGCTTGCTAGGAAACAGAGCGACGAGCTTTTATGTAGACAAGGAAGGTTTCGATTCGTTACTTTACATAATCGATGTAATACAAGGTTGTGTTTGTCTATAATGATTAGTTGGTCTTTGATGCCTGTCTGTTGCCTTCTTTTTTTAAAGCGTTTAATCAGTGTATTGAGGGATGCGACAAGTTTTCGTGAGTAATACCAGTAAATAATAATAGCTTTCTTAACTGATCTTGGTAGTAAGTTGTAACTGCTCAAAAATAAATAAAATAAGCATATCATCTAGTTAAGATGGTAAAATACTGGTGGGAAAATGCTAAAATTAAAAAAAGACAATTCAGTGCATTCCATGAAGTATTAGAGCATGGTTCTAGCTATTTGTGACAAAGCAGCTGAATCACATCTGAAGCATATGGTTTTGAAACGTTAAACCCGAACAATTATTATTGAACATAACTGACGTATTTTCTGAAGTTAAATATAATCATGAACACACATGCGCGGCAAAAAAATTGTATAAGTGCATATGTACATATCGAGGAAGCACGCAGATGATAAGAAAATGGTTGCAAATAAATTTATTGTGAAAATGTTCTTGTTAACAACTACTTATGTTGTTTGTGAAGAATGTGCGACGCTGTTTATGCTATTAGAATTAGTTTACCCACACTTGCATGGCAGTCTTCAATGTTGTAGCGTGTAGCGTTCGAGACTTTGCAATGATTTTGAAATTTCTTTGTGCAGAGGTAGACTTCTTCAGGTTTCCTTTCAAAGAACTTGTAATTCACCCATAATTCGCAGACGTTTTTGGGTCCTGTGAAAAGGCATTCATTGATGAATTATTCTCTAACAAATAATCGCGTTGTCGCACTTTATGCTGCGCCTCGGCGAATTGGGAAGCACAGGCAACACTGTATGGTGTATCCGTGTCTTCTACAGCGCACTGTAAACAACAATCTGCTGTGTAGCCCAGTGACTTTCCGTACATTAGGAACATGGGCAGCACATTATTTAAATCGGGGCTGCTGTGTGTAAAACTTTTACACCGTATATTTTTTAGCAAGGTGTCTAGTGAGTTCACTCCCGGCAGAAGTGCGCCCAGAAAAATATATAAAAAATTGCACAACCGAACACGAGGAGAGCATTGAAATACCCCTTGACAAATCAGGGCACGAAGCAGGGCGATTCAAATTTCTATGATGTAAGGACACTCATAAGGGAGCATTTCTCGCAATGGTGTAATAATCGGTTCATCAATAAAGTTAGAGAGGGATTTTCTGGCAGATTTTTTTGGGCATTTGTGTTCTTGGAAAAGAAAAGTATTCAAATCAATCGTTTAACCAGCTTCATTCCTGCAGTATTTTCTTTAATGAAAACATACGTTTGTGCGCTGTCTCGTTTTGGTAATATATTTACGATTGTTAATTTGTATAATATGCATCGCGTGCTGCTGGGTTCATCACTTAAGAAATAATTAGACATAATACCATATTTCATGTCTGATTGATTGATTAGTGGAGTTTAACGTCCCAAAACCACCATATAATTATGAGAGACACCGTAGTGGAAGGCTCCGGAAATGTCGACCACCTGGGGTTCTTTAACGTGCACCCAAGTCTGAACCCACGGGTCTATAGCATTTCCGCCTCCATAGGAAATGCAGCTGCCGCAGCCTCGATTCGATCCTGCGACCTGCGGGTCAGCAGCCGAGTACCTTAGCCACTAGACCACCGCGGCGGGGCATATTTCATGTCTAACTTGTAACTAATATATAAGAATAATTCGATGAACATATCTTCACAGATTCTCTAAAGCGCAATGACGTCATTGCTTTTGGTACAAATCACCGCAAAAATGCAATAAATCATTGACAAAACACAAAAGCATCATTATCTGCCTCATATTTGAGATAAGTCTACCCTAGCACTTCAAATATGCACGTGCTGAACAAACATGCATGAATGTAGCCAGGGGCAATTTACCGAGGTGAAGACAAGCGTGCTAACATCCCTCAGTCTTTACGTCTTCAGCCTCATATTTGAGCACATGAATAAGCACGTATGATTTTGTTTGAGACAGCTATCCTCAAGACTACATTCCAAGGTTTACGTACAGGGCGGAGCAGTCTTAGCATGCCAGTGTATCGCGATGACAATTGAGGAATACTGTTGAGTATCTGCATATCCATACTAAGATGCACTTGAAATTTTTTGTCTTAGCACTGAAATACTTTTACAATGTATCAATTGAAGTGTGACACTATGCAGGACACATATATAAGCTTATACTTTATTCGTCTCAATTAATTTGATATCTCTGCTAAAATTCACACTTTTCTTTGGAGGCACCAACGATGGGTTCCCCACTCGCACACAGTGGCTTATGTGGTTGTGCACTCTACGACGTTGACGGCACAATCACAGTAGCAGTATTGTCCTATAAGGGCTGCCATACTTGGCTACTTTACGCCAGACTGGCTACTTTTGAAAGGCCGCGTTGACAGAAAAATGAAGGTTGCAGCTTAGTTACATTTAAAGAGGATAGTCTTTCTTGGCGACCTTCGACTCAAAACTTTTGGTCTGCCTGTATGTCTGTACATTTGTCTGTTTGTCCTGCACAGAAGGAGCGATACTTATAGAGTAACTTTTTTTTTTCACAGACCACACCCAGACGACGTTCTGGGAAGTTGGAAGGAACTCAAGTGACCATTTTGTTTTCTCTCCGAACTATTCTTGTCTGCGTTTTTCAATGCAATGAAGCAGATGGTTGCCAAAATGACTTGAACGTTTGGAGAGAAATTATCGAGGTATAACGTAATGAAGAAAGCACAGGTCCATATTCATAGTTGGAATAATAGGAGAGGGCTTCGCCGTGTAGGGGCCTTAGTGAGTCTGATAATGATGATTGCGACAAAACAATGCATTGCTGAGATTTTATTTTTATCTAGCTTGTGCGGAGGCGGGCTGCTGCCAGCTTTTAGAAGGCTAGCACGAGAGCAGTTTGCTGCCTACGACAAAAAAAAACTTCAACCAAGCAAGTCATTCTGGTTTTGGCGCTTTTCAGTTTTTGCGGAGGATCTATTTCTCTTTCTATTTCACATGCATGACTTCATGTGTGTATGTTAGTAGCGGGAGAAAAATGGCTGATCACTCACACTTTGACCCAAATACTATTGGGTAGTTAGAATTTGAGACTCTTCCTCTAATAACTGCATGATTGCTCCTATAGTTCATGTGATAGAGAGAATTGCGCCTCTAGTTGGACGCCTCTCTCACGAAGTATGTGCACCTTTTTAAGAGCTGCTAAAGGAATGTAACCGAAAATAAACCTCCCCTGGAAACTTCAATAACAGTTACAACTTGGCATATGCGGCAACTAAACGTATATGCATAAAAAATACTTGATATGTGTGTTTACGTACCTCGACTTGTATTTGTTTGCTTCTTTATAACAGCGCACTCATCTAGTACGTATGGGAATGTGTACATTGTGTATTCATTTGTTTCTGAAATGCAAAAATTATGATGAAAACTGAGCCGTCGCCACACTGCTTAAATGTCAGGCTACCATGAGTGATCTAACTGCAGAGGCCAAACAGCAAGGTGCGGGTTCCTGTGGGTTCTCCGTTTTTCTGCATGGTGCCTATTGATACAAGAACCCACATCCTAACACACGAGTCAGCTAATGTATGAAATGAAAAATTTTGTAGTACGCTGTGCCTGCGTAATAGTATGGTTGACATAAACTACTTCATTATGATTTACACAGTTATGAATTCAGTATACAAGCAATGAAATTTTTTCTATATTTGAAGAAAACATTTTTAAAATATTCCGGTGTTTCTGGGTGTTTGAGATGCTTCACTTTGCACGAAATGCAATATCTAGCTTTAGACCAATCAAGTACGCGTTCTTGCAACACATTTCACAACTATTGTACAAAAATACTTAATACTTGATGAGAGCAGTAATGCTTTTGTAAATAGTCGTTTTACACTTTGTAAGGTTACGGATAGCAAGGCAGCCATTTTGAAAACAGACCTTGAGTTCTTATAGAATTCCTTTTAAACAACTATTGCGAACTCTCGTTATTTAAAACTCGATGATGCTAAATAACTGGTACAAAGTTTTATCAATAGAGTGTAGTTTGAACTAGCAGATAGGTGCTACAATGAACAGAAATCGCATCACTGCGAGTGCAGAAGCCAAAAAAAAGCGACTTATGGCTCTCTAACGTGTATTAGGTGCTGCTACAGGTTGACAGCGTGGTGCACTCCCAGACAGCTGGACTCGACTTGTTCAAAATAAACCACGTTGTAGTACATGTAGTATGGCCGGAACGCCGAGAGGGGTCTGCGCTGAACTCGAATAGAACTAGCCATCTCTTGCAAATGCCTTGTATAATTCATTATCGCTTTGCACCACTTTGTATAAACAGGGCCAGCTAAGAAGCGATCAGCTCCTCTGTCCGTAAATCTTTGCGCCGCTAATGGAAGGGGCCCTCGCATTTTTTTTTCATTTTAAGCTGAGTGTACAAATTGCAATGCAATAATACAGATAGCCTTGTGCGAGCATTCCGCAATATAGGTTGACCTTGGCGTCATACTAAATTTCATTTGATGCTTCGTTTAGCACCACTTTTTTACGTGAACAATAGACATGCCTTCCTACGGCTGTACAGCGACTATTGCCCTATCACATATAATCATATGGTGATTGAGCATTCATCGTTTAAAGTAAGTATTCTAGCTGTCATACTTTGAGTGATTCCAATCTGAATAAATTGGAAACTTGCCTTAGCCCACTTATGTTTTAACGTGGTTGTTAAGTTATGTTTTCTTTAGCATGCTGTCAGCTTTTATAGTTGGCATATAGTTTATTAGGTACTTACGTTATGCCACGCTTTCATTCAGGTTGGCCTACTTTATTTTTATTTATTTATTATTTATTTGGGCATAACACATACAGGGTTTGCCCGCGAGGTAAGGCAAAAGGAGGACTTAAACCCCCTTACTAGGCCGTACCTCGCTGGGGCAGCAGAGACAGCGGATTCGAAAGTTGCAATTTCACAAGAACACAATAAGTCAACATGAACATAATCACTAGTACAATAAGAGCATGATCGCTAATTACAGTAAGAACGTAATGACAGTAATGATATAATAACAGCAAGAACATAATCACTAAGCAACAAGAACATAACAATGCGGTGACCAGTAATGCTTACTTACAGTAACACTTAGTACCAATGCTAATGCAGTAACCAAAGATATTAACATTTACACAACACATCCAATTCCCAAGCAAGAAACATGTTCATTATTGACTGTTTAAATTCATGAATTGTTTTACAACTTCTGGCTATTTTAACAACATTAGAATACATATTACATAAAGACATAGTTTCATACTCAATAGTTTGCATACTATAGTTTGTCCTGGCCTTCTTCATTACTATTGATGTGCGGCGTAAACTGTACCCTGTGTCTCAACTGAGGTACCGGTTTGAAAATGTCTCAAAGTTGCTGGAAACTTCTTTAAACAGCCGAATGCAAATCTTCGATCTGTAAGAGTTTCTAATGTCAAGGATATTGTAGCGCATCATTAATTTAGAAGACCCCATGTATTGATTTGAAGAGTTAAGCAAACGAACAGCTCGACGCTGTAGTACTGCTAGTTTTTCTATATCGTTTTGTTTCCGTTCCCCCATACTAATAAGCCATAGCTAAGATGCGAGTGTACAAGTGAAAAGTACAGTTGTCTGATGAACTTGACAGGCAGATAGCATCGGATCCGTCGTAGTAGACCAACAGAGCGTGCTACCTTGGTGCGGACCTTATTTATGTGCTCTGGCCAGCTTAAATTTTTATGAAATATAACACCTAGAAAAGAATGGCTTGTCACATGCTCTAGTTGTGATCCACACTATAAAGGTTTTACATCGTAGCTCATTTCTTTATTCTTTGAACAAAAAACCGTAAACTTTGTTTTCTTCGCAATTAGGTTTAGCTGATTTACATATAGCCATTGGTGAAGTTCTTTTAACCAAGAATTTGCAGTAACTTCTAGTTCCTGAAGGTCAGCACCAGAAAAAAACACATTAGTGTCATCCGCGTACATGATCATTTCATCTGTGAGTGGAATGTTTACTATATCATTTATATACGCGATAAGCAATAATGGCCCTAAAATTGAACCTTGTGGTACCCCATATTAAATCGAGCTTTTGTCTGAACTGTAATCCTGCAGGGAAGTATACTGCAATTGAGAATCAAGGTAACTATTCATAATTTCTAAGGCTGCGCCGCGAATGCCATATACGTGGAGCTTGTTAAGCAATATTTCATGTTTTATAGAATCGAAGGCCTTTCGAAAGTCTAAAATTATACCAATGGTGAGTTTTTTTCTTCAATATTACTTATAATTGTATCTCTGATTCTTAATAATGCCATTTCAGCTGACTTATTCTTTTGAAAGCCATATTGTTTATCCGAAATAATACCTTTATCCAGTAGAAAGCTATTAAGGCACTTATATATAATACGCTCAGCTATTTTTGAAAATAATGGGAGTACCTAATCGGTCTGTAGTTGTTTAAGTCATTGTGATTCCCACCCTTAAAGATTACTGAAACACAAGCTAGCTTCATTTTTTTCAGGGAAAATACCAGTGGAGAGTATACTGTTGCAAATATGTTCCAATGACCGCATATTATGTGAGCAACTGCTCTAATAGGTTGAGCTTTGATGCCATCCTCTCCAGCGGCTGACTTGTTACTCAAGGAGTTAATAATGGAAAAAATCTCACTTTCAGATGTAGGCGTAAGAAATATTCTCTCGCCGACACGATTACCAATGTAACTTTCATAAATTCGATTTTGGCAAAAACCAAATATAGAGGTTGGAGCACCAGCATTGATAAAATGATTATTAAAGAGATGAGCTGCATCATTACCGCAGTACTTAACATCATTTACAACAACCTCTGTCGGCGCATTTTGCGAACAGGAACCTATTAGCTCGCGGTATATGTTCCACATTCTACGACCATCACTCATAGAAGTTTCAAATTTACGTGTACAGTATTCAGATTTTGCTTTCTTCAGATCACTGTTGAGTTTGTTTTGGACTTGTTTGAATGCTTTTAATATTTGGGGGTCTCTTGTCTTTAAGAAGTGACTGAATATATTGTCTCTGTGTTGAATTCGTTTATATAGTTCATGATTTACCCATTCTTTTCTAGCTCTTTTAGGCCGACCACAGGGGAGAAAGGAAATGCTACATTGTATATTTCTTTCACTTTGGACACAAATAGATCATACGATGCTGAGGGATTTTCTTCAGCATAAACATCAGACCAATCTGCAATGGAAAGTAACGTTTGAAATAACTGTATACTTCGTCTATTTATAACACGCTTGAAGTTGTGATTTCTATCAATGCGCATAGAGAATGGTAACGCAGCAAATATCGGCAAATGATCACATATGCCAGAGCTTAGCCCTCCAGAAGATGTTTCGTTTTTTTGTGAAAGAAGTAAAACATAAATCAATCAATGTTTTTGAACTCGGGATTATCCGCGTAGGAAGTTCTATAAGGTTTTCACGACTATTTGTTAACATAGTTTCAGTAAGTTGCATACTTTCATTAGTTTTCGAAAGTAAGTCATCATTGAAATCACCAACAATAATCGAATGAAATTTCTTCATGTTCTCAGTGCTAGCAAGTTCAAGCACTGAGTCCATATAATGAAGTAATCCTGTTAGCGCACCTTGCGGTGGGTGGTAGACAGCAACAATCAGAATGTTTCTAGAAACTACAGCAACACATTCAAAATCATCGGTCACACACGTGAATTCAGGCAAGATTTCGCAATCATGGCATTCGCGAGCAAACAGAGAAACGCCACCGCCTCGTTTTCTGGAGCGATAAACTGAAATGTGCTTATAACCCGAAAATGTATGACGTCATGCTCAGCCACGTACCACGTCTCTGAAAAAGCTAGGAAGTCGAAGCAACAATTTAGTTGCGATAGGTATGTCTCCATGTCAACTTGCTTATTTCTTAAGGTTTGCGTATTCACATGGAACAGTGTAAGCCCTTTGTCACAAAAACAGCTATTCTTCGCTACCAAGTTGTTAAAAGATGCAGCACTGTGATAGGATTCCATAATTGTGGAAGTTGGCGGCGTTTTATAGTCATAAACAATTTTTTCTAAGTCACCTTCCGTGGCGAGCCTTATTGCGCGAGCATTCGTCTGCTTGCGCACAAAGATAGTTCCCTGTGAACTCCAAACGAATTGATAGTTCGATTCCCTTGCCCGGTTTTTCGCAAGCCATAGTAACCGCTTGTTTGTAGGAGTCAGGTTATCCAAGAATTTATTACCCTGTGTTTTGCTCCCGAGATTTTTCTTCTTTTCGAACCACGCAGTTTTTAATGTTCTTGTGGCAAAGCGCACAAGAACGACAGGGTCCCTACCCTCTTTTGCACGCAGACGGTGCATTCCGTCAATATCTTTTTCAGATAGTGACGGCAGGTCAAGCTGCACGGCAATCTTATTTATTTCTGTTAGCAGGTACTCTCCTTCTCGTTGAGCGAGACCGTGAATTTCTATGTTCTGTCTTGGCTGTACTGCTCCAGAGTGGCCATTTGTTCTTTTAATTTTGAAAGCAATGTCACGTCTTGCGACTGTTCAACAGCCTCTATTCGGTGGCGTAATTCACCGATACCTTGTTCCTGCCGATTTACAGCATCTTTAGGGTGATCGTAGGTATCAGACAAATGCTGCACTGACCTTTCGATGCTCTGCACAGTTTCTTGCAAGCACATCAGTTTATCTAACTTTGCTTCTAGCGCTTGCATTTGCGACAGCTTTTTGTTTATTTCAGCAAGCTCAGTTTGAAGGTTCACAGATTGGCCTGCTGTGTCAGTGTTCCCTTGAGCAATTTTACATGTAGGACATCTAAGTGACTTTTTAGTCGCACCTTCTTTCATCGTCTTAAACGACCTAGCTGTGATGCCACTACATTTCCCGTTGAAGTCACCGCTGCAGTCAACACATCGCATGATGACACCATTATCGCTAAACGCTGTTTTACAAAAGAAACAAGCCTTTGCAGTCATTTTTGCTCGAGGGAAGTGATACACATGTGAAGACAATTCAAACAGTTTTCAGGACAGCAGCAGCAGCGGAAGTGGTGAGTGATAAGTAAGAATGCAAAATAATATTGCAGACACTTTCTACTAACCTGCAAGAATATCAGGCGTGCGTTTAGACGGGATCCACCTACGCCAAACGCTACCGCTGCTGCCCGAGTGAGTCCCTTGGCCAGATGTCGATCCTTTGTAGGGCTCCATCAGTGGTAAGGTCACGTATTTCGGTAAAGGTCGCGTGCCTCGGCAATCCGTAGTGGCAGCAGTTTGTTGCGATGCAATTTGATCTGGTAGCGCAAAAACGTCCAGCGATAATCACCTGCAAGAATATCAGGCGTGCGTTTAGACGGGATCCACCTACGCCAAACGCTACCGCTGCTGCCCGAGTGAGTCCGTTCGCCAGATGTCGATCCTTTTGTAGACTCCGTCAGTGGTAAGGTCACGTGTCTTGGTAAGGGTCACGTGCCTCGGCAATCCGTAGTGGCAGCAGTTTGTTGCGATGCAATTTGATCTGGTAGCGCAAAAACGTCCAGCGATAATCGTCTGCAAGAATATCAGGCGTGCGTTTAGACGGGATCCACCTACGCCAACCGCTACCGCTGCTGCCCGAGTGAGTCCGTTGGCCAGATGTCGATCCTTTTGTAGGCTCTGTCAGTGGTAAGGTCACGTGTCTCGGTAAGGGTCACGTGCCTCGGCGATCCGTAGTGGCAGCAGTTTGTTGCGATGCAATTTGATCCGGTAGCGCAAAAACGTCCAGCGATAATCGTCTGCAAGAATATCAGGCGTGCGTTTAGACGGGATCCACCTACGCCAACCGCTACCGCTGCTGCCCGAGTGAGTCCGTTGGCCAGATGTCGATCCTTTTGTAGGCTCCGTCAGTGGTAAGGTCACGTGTCTCGGTAAGGGTCACGTGCTCGGCGATCCGTAGTGGCAGCAGTTTGTTGCGATGCAATTTGATCCGGTAGCGGAAAAACGTCCAGCGATAATCGTCTGCAACAATATCAGGCGTGCGTTTAGACGGGATCCACCTACGCCAACCGCTACCGCTGCTGCCCGAGTGAGTCCGTTGGTCAGATGTCGATCCTTTTGTAGGCTCCGTCAGTGGTAAGGTCACGTGTCTCGGTAAGGGTCACGTGCCTCGGCGATCCGTAGTGGCAGCAGTTTGTTGCGATGCAATTTGATCCGGTAGCGGAAAAACGTCCAGCGATAATCGTCAGCAACAATATCAGGCGTGCGTTTAGACGGGATCCACCTACGCCAACCGCTACCGCTGCTGCCCGAGTGAGTCCGTTGGCTAGATGTCGATCCTTTTGTAGGCTCCGTCAGTGGTAAGGTCACGTGTTCGGTAAGGGTCACGTGCCTCGGCGATCCGTAGTGGCAGCAGTTTGTTGCGATGCAATTTGATCTGGTAGCGCAAAAACGTCCAGCGATAATCGTCTGCAAGAATATCAGGCGTGCGTTTAGACGGGATCACCTACGCCAACCGCTACCGCTGCTGCCCGAGTGCCTGGGTTATGCCTGGGTTATTCGTCGTGAGCCTTTTTTGTTATTTTTAATTAGAAGTTTGAGGTTGAAATGACTTTTTGTAGTGAGAAATAAAATTCGTACAATGCCTGCATCATTCCTACGTGATGAAAATACGGAAGAAGCTTTGGACTTAAGGTACTTATACGTTTCGCTCAGTCACTTCTTGCTAGGAGCTTTCCATGTTTGTTTTATACATTCCATTGAGACTGTATATATTTTACTTCTGCTATGGTTACTTGAGCCTTCGTATAGATTACTGGATAAAAAGTTCAAGAACGCACACCACACATATATTCATTGCACAAGTCGGCGGTAGCTTGACTTTTAAGCAGTGTGTGGAACGGCATAAATTTATGGAAAACCTCCACATGGCTATGCTCGACGTTAATGCACTGGATAGTTTACGACACTCATTCAACATGCTGTATGCATCGTAAGAAAAGCGCGCCTGCAGCAGGTATCCTGTTCCGCTCATATCTTGAACAGCAAATTCAAAGCGACTGTGTACAGTCCTTCACGGCTTTCCTGATTTGTGTCGCAATAACAAGCGTACCATATAATGTGTATAATCTTGCAGCGGTTTCTCTGAAAAGTTCGTGGAAATTAATAAAACCGAATCTTGCTATCTGAGTTAGGTCACCCTTCATCGGTGGGATGAATGCCCTGAACACTGATCGGTGGAGGTGATGACAATTGTACTGCACGTAAAAGTAGAAAGCTTGTACCGTATGCGGCCATTGCATGCTTCATCGAGTTTTGTTTACTAATAAAACAAATACTTTAGTGGTAATTCAAGGCATGCGCACACTTTTTGTTTTTGTTATTTGCGGCGGCGGAGGCCGTGCTCACGTTTCGCCGCCGTTTGAATGCAGGGAAGTGAATCCACCGCTGGCAGTGCCAACAGACCCTTATTTGAAAGCTGAGAAAAAAAAACAAATACTTGTCTCCGGCGCAACCTAGCCGCTTTGGGTGCGTAAAATACTAGTTCAGGTTATGCATGTTTGTTTTTAAGCAAAATAAGTCTGCTTGCTAGGATTTCTTGTCCTACCAGTAGATTGCGCCACATAGCTGTTGAGTGACGCTAGCGGTCATTTTTCATCGAATTGCGGCATCAAGTTGAAATTACAGCTTTTTTTGTAAAACGAAAGCACGCTCGTTGCCGCCCATGTGATGAACGATCTTCTCATTAGTGCCACATTTTGAAAAACAATTTTTTGAGCGGTAGAGAGTCTTTTAAGTCTATTCGATTGCATTGAAGTGGAGAGTAGTATCTATCCAGCTTGCTAATTTAGCAGGCTGGATATGCTATTCGTGATTTTAGTGTAGTAATACGATGACTCTCATTTCTTTGCCAGTTCTCGTGTGATTCTGACTCAAGAAGCTCGGGAAGACAGGCGCTTCGAATAAAGCTTCATTGCTTATAAGTTTTACTCAGATACGTTTTGAATACAAATGAATGCATAAGTAAATGAATGCAAGAGAATTGCAGAACCCATTATTTGTAGCATTGAGTCAGCGCTTCAAACCCCTATTAATACTGGCCCCACAGAAGCAGGAACGTTATAATGCCACATTGAATATGCAGCACGAAGAGAACAACGAAGAACACGCGCAGCGAGTGAAGAAGACGAGGTTCTCTTCCGATCAGTTTGCCAGTATTCTAATACAATTAAAGTGAGTTTCCTGGATTCGACTGCTGCTGTTTCTGCATGGTGACAATATGACGTTGTCTGCGAATAGACCTATCTTTCAGCCCTTCCCTAGGAGCAACAAGGTGGAGGCACCTGGCTGTGCATAAATTGTGCTGAATAAACAAGGTGCGGCCTTGAGAAGAAGGAGTGCCTCTGCTTAGTATTTGGGTCAAGCAACCTTTTCTTTTGTCTGGAGTTTTGACCACAAAGGCAACCCTAAGAATTTGTAAGTTTGAGATGCATATACAGATTGACCAATAAGTTATTTTGATGTCAAGCATCGTTTGAAAAATGCTGACAGCTAATAATTGCAGAACGATACCACACGGAGCAAAAAAATCTAGCGTCAGTTTCGTATGTACATGCAGGCGTTTTGGTGTTTATTTCAACATTACATCTCTGCGTCCTAAATTGCTTCACCTATAGGTACACAAAGCCTACATGTTAAAACGTCAAGAACCATTCAACCTCAACTTGTAGAGACTAGAGTACTACACGCAATATTTATTTTATATAGCATGCTCATCACAAAATCATCAAGGTATTTTCTATAAGTTATGTTTATGGTAACGTCTTCTAGTAGAGGAACATACGGCAGCTGTATTTTTGGCCTTACTTTCCATTTATTTTGTTCAATTTATTAAAATTTTCCCATTGTTGAATATTAACACCTACAGGAAACATTGTAGAAGAAATGCTGTAAAATCTCCCTAACGGATATATCAAAGAAATGCGCAGCCACGAGTCTGCAGTTCACGGTCTTATGTGACTGCTAGCTCTAATCTGCCCATAAACAAGGACAGCAAAATTTCCTGCACTGTCTTTCCAAACGAATTTATTGATCATGATTTCAAGTGAACTTTAGCAAAATGGTGAGCGATAGGTTGATAACCACGAAATAATGCTTCAGTTACCGTAACTGAAGATAGAAGTACAAATTGTACATTTGACCTCAAACTCTACATACACCAGATTACTACGCCAGCAAACTTTGTTGAATAAACGTCTGAAATTAGAAATGACGTAAATTTAGATAACATACCGTTGTTCACCGATGTGAATCTTTTCACCGGTGTATTGTTTCTCCGTATTTGTGTGTAATCCACACGTTTATAATCCCTTGATCAGGAGAAAAAACAAAATTCATGGTCATGTTATGTTACTTGCTACTTAACTTTAAAATCTATTTAGAAAATAACAAGCATACTTGCGCCAATGCCATACGTTCGGAATAATTAAAAAAGCATACTTGCGCACGACTGCCATACGCATGAAATTCATTTGTAGTTATCAACTCATATAGCAGGACTACACAGCACCCTGTACTGGAAAAAATATTTTTTTCTTGCGCTTCCTTTTTCAAGTGTATCAGCGGATACGCGATTATTGGTAGAAGCTTACAGAATGCCTGGCTGGTGTTACATTTCAACCCATCAATTTATTGTGTGCCGAATGCAATTACCCTTCTTTATGCATGCACAGCCTTTCTATCACATACGCCAAAGATCTCCTTGTTTAATATATAGCATGGTGCAGTGTTTGATTCAAAATGTGCGTAGACTGTTACACCGCCAAATGAAATAAAGGTCAATCTTTCGAAAACTGTTAGTAAACGACGCAATGACAACACAATGCAGTCACGCACTTCTTCGACTTGTCTTGTCTCAGCGTGAACGCGTTAGCAAGAAATGTAACCCGTGATTTTCATGTTTTCTGCATCAGTCAACATACTGGGCCCTACTCGACACGATGAATCTGACTTGTTCTTGAAAGACATGATGTTTTCGTGAAAGTACGTCTGCACTCCTGTTTTAATCACAGCTAACAGCGCACACAAATCCGCTTCACGAGGTTTTCCCGTAGCTACGTAGTTAAATGTGATCATCTGACTTGTTCAGTAAAAACTGAACATTTTATAAAAAAGTAAATATGAATAATAAGAACAGTAACAATAATAATATTTGAAAGAAGAATGATAGTAATAATTAAAATAATATCATTATTATCAACAACAGCTACAATAACAACAACAATCTTTTACTGACACTGCGAGAGAGCTGTAATGCAATACACAAAATTGAACTGCCAAAGCCTCCTGTGTTTGAAAGGCAGAGCTGACAGACATCAGAGAAAAATAAATTATTCATGGTAGACTACGCATATGCGGATATTTATTTTCTTTCGCATGTACATGCTAAATATGAACGCGAGTAGACAGCCAGGCACGAAGAAATAAAAGGTCCCCTAGCCTTACATTTGCTCATGCAATCGCAAAAACACAGTGATAGGACACAATCAAATTTTGTTGACTAAGAAAAAAAGTGGGGCAACCAAGATAACAATTTGCATGACAACACCTTATTTCGTCATTCATACACGAAATAAAATAAAGAAAATTTATTATATTCTTTTTTCTCTGGTAAACTAAGAACTATGCGTAGCCTTATGCACATTGAAGCCTTAATGTTCTGATACTGCAGAGGAATTTACTGAAAGAAGAGAACAGATACCACGAAAGAAAAAATATTAACGAGACGAAGGAGTACCTTCAGTCTGAATTTTTTCTTTTGAACGAAAGACCCTTGAGGTTAGTTAACTAACGCAAGCCGGTGCATATCGCACATTTCAGTGTTCTTGAAGGAAATGAATTCCATAACACCGTACGTGGAAACTTTTGTGGGCTCGTAATGTGCGCTTCTATAACTGAACAATGCCGGACTGACAATGCCCTAAATAGGGCGCTTTGCCCACTACCATCAAAGCACCGCAATGTATCCTGCGAGAGAAGTTTATTGATTCTAGGGTGTTCCTTCTCCATGATAGACGTACAGCGAACGACCTGTGTGCGGTCTCGCGCCTATGTAAAGGTCAGTGCTACACCACCTGTCTTTGCGCATTTTAGTAAGTGGCAGCACACTGCAGGCGATTTGCTTGTTGACCAATTTCAGACCTGATTGCCCATCACACGACTTCGAGGACTCTATTAAGTTACTATACTGTGCTATGCAAGACTAATATGGTGTACATGTGTCTTCCTGTCTGCACCGCATACATAATGTGAGCGCGACAAGCGAATGACTCTTTATTCTCTTTGATAACATCATCATCTGTAGATCTTCTTCATCTGTAAATATCATCACCAGCGTGATTTAGCTCGATCCTGGCTGAATAAATCGGTTCCTCACAAAATATGGATAAGCCTTCTTTTACGATTGCATCCGATGTTTGCGGCACCGATAAAAATAACGAAAACCTGCTGCGCCACTGTCCTCCATTTGACTCAGACAGACAAGTACTTGCTAACGCATTGCGGCTACTGGATGATCGAACATTTTCTGAACAGGTGCTTTTATAGCATTTTTCATATCTCTCGACAGGGACAGCCCTTTTGTGTTTGTGGACGACGGGTTCGTTTGAACGCCTCTCATTTATGGTGTGGTCGTACACGCTGCAGTGAATTTACTATTTGTTTCTGCCCGTTATTTTCTTTCTCTTTCCACTTGCTCAAATTTGTGGTTCTCTTCCCTAAACTATTGGCGGAGGTTACCCAAGTGGATGTCTTTCTGGTTAACTCCCTTGCCTTCTCTCTTTGTCACCTTCCTTCCTTCTTTCAAACCATCTGCGTCCTTTTGCTCTTCCTTACTTTCAAATCATTCCTCCTTCTCCCCACTTATCTTTTCCGCACTCTTGCCGTACTGTGCAATACATGGCAATGTCATAATTAGGAAGCCTAAATGTCACTAGCCGAGTTAGTCGAGAGCCCGATGTTTAGGAACACTCTTTGTCAAGGAAGTGTCACCTCGCGTCTTTTTCTTTTACAGGCGTGTTGCTGCGTCGCACGTTCAATCTGCCTGACGTCGTTTTTATGATGGCGTATTTCCTTCAGAAAACACGTGTCTTCGCCTATGTAGCTGGCAGCACGCACTAGCAGGACTACTCGTGGACTACGCTTTGGCATTGCGCCTTAGAAGGCCAATTCTTCAGCCGTGGTGGCCAGTGGGTGAGCGAAGATGCAGGTTGTGAACCATGGTGACTAACAATTTTCCGGAAATCCTGACGAGTTTAAATGATTCTCGGTGCACGAGAGATGACAATGCGCAGGACCAGCTTCTTCGATTCTATTGTTGGCGGTGAGGTGGCAATGAAGGAACCGGTTGGCGTAGTCTGTGTTTCGCAGGTACCTCGCATCGACACGGTTGTCGCCCTCTCAATACATGGCGCCACACCCAGTGCTCGAACTTTTCCATGTATCTCTGCTTTAGTGGCTCGGCAATGTTTATCTACTTTCTCTCTTTTTTCAAGTGAGAAATATTTTTGCCCGTTAAACGAGCACTGAAACCACATAATCTTTGTGGGCAGTTCGATAGCACGACGTCAAGTGCAAATACGCACAGGTATGCGTTCACACCGAGAAAAGTCATACACTCACCCGGTCGTTTGAATTTAGACCATTAATAATTGACTGGATTAGGAAGCAGCACTGCTTCCAAAGTGTTCTGAGAACGCGGTGCACGGAATCACGGCCTACCAGACACATTTTTAATTCGCGAGGACCTTTAGAGAGACGAAAATATTACCAAGAAGCCTTGAGACCAAACGAGTGGCACACGTTGCGGAAGGCAAGAACATCTTGGAAGAAACTGCAAGGTGCCTGCCCAATGCGTGATTGAAACAAACTCTGAACAACAAGTAGCCCTTGAAAGCAAGCTTTAAACCCTTCAATGAGTTGAATTCACCGCAGACTTGACTGACTCTCTTCGCCGTATTGTGATGCTTGGTAGGCCTGGCCTCAACCTCAATTTAAAGTATGGCCTGTTTTGTGATCATGTTGCACATAAATATTTAAGCTCACAAGGCTGATATAGTGCAGTTTTAATCATTTATTGTGATGTGTTGCGAAGGTGGAGATTCTGCTGCGTAGAATCTACGTAACTGACAATTTTAGGTACGGGTTCGTGCAACTTTTAAAAACAATAGTCTTTCTTGGGTACCTTGGACACAAAAATTTCGGTCTGTCTATCTCTCTCTCTGTCTGTTTGTAAATTTGTGTGTTTGTCCAACCTAACGATACCTCAAACGGCACCAAACGGCCAACCCCATCCGCAGCGCTCACCAATATTGCTCAAGGTTTAGCGTTAATAGTTGTGCGATCGTCAATTAAAAAGCAATTATTGCGCATATCTGAGGCGCCACAACAACGCCTCGATGTTTTCTATGTCTGCCTTTACACTAGAAAAGGCCCACGCATGTAACTTTAAGGAATGTAGCGTTTATTTGCGCTGCGCTGACAGTGCAACGCAATGCTCAAAAAGGTGTTTTCAACGCTTTGCTACGACGTCACATTGGTGGCACCTACTCGTCGCTTTGCGTTCTACAGCTTATCACCTCCGAGACTAGCGCGTATCTTTCTGCGCGGGCTGCACGACTTCGTTTTCGAAGATAACTGCCAGATGGCACTTGTGTCTAATGTGCCTAGATGCGCTCGTTCGCCTCCACCACACCCTAGAGTCACTCTAACACAGTGCCTGCAGAATACTATTCACCAATTTTCTTTTGCAGAACATAAAACAAACGTTTTGTTCACTCTCTTCAGACGCAAGACTATCGTCTTTCGACAGCATTTACAGTGTAACATGTAGATTCGGGCCAATTGTTTGAAGTGCAAAGCGTCAGATAACTTTTCAGAAAAACAAAATACCTGCACTTCTCTATAAAAAATGCGAAACACAATACAAATTTATGACACATCATAAAATTGAAGGTAAATTATATCGAAATTAAATAATGATATTTAAACATAGTCGCTTCTAGGTACAAATGTGACAACACTTCATACCAGGAGTGCATCACTAAAAACTTAGAAATATGGTAGCTTAGATATCGCTTTACATTAAACAAAACGAAAGCACCACTCCACTTAAAAAGAGTGGTTTTATAATCTGTAGAGGCGTTGGTTAACAAGGAATAGCATTACTGTCGGTGATGACATAACTGTTTTTCTGGTAAGTGCAGCAGGAGCAATGCGCAAAACAAAAATGTTGTTGCTCCTCCCACGGGAGTGCACAGCAAATGTGGGCGAGGAAACCAACCTCGTCATCTCCGGCATCTTTGGCAACGTT